CTAGGCTTTGAGCCATAAGTCTTAATTATTGTTAAATGACCTAAAAGTTATTAAGAAACAAAATATATTATGTGAACTTAACCTATTATTTGTGAATCTTCTTTTACTGAATCATGAACGGGAACATACATATTTATAGAAACTGAGTGTTACAGTTTATGATGTTGCTATTTTAAACTATGACTATGTGTCTAGCGACAACTCTAGAACATTCTTAAATGTTGTTATTATATACCAGTATTGTATTTTAAGACATATTTATGCAAATTATATCATAAATAACATTAAGTCAATTTTAAGCTCTCAAATTTCTAATATTTAAAATGTTTTCTTAGTAGTATTTTATTGAAAAAATATTTTTATTTCTTAAATACAGTTGATTTCACTTTGATATATTAAAAAATAGTTTGATAATTTTAAAATAGGATTATGTTAATATAATAATTAATTAAAGATTATATTCTTCAAATATTAATGTTCCCTTTATTTATTATTATTAAAAACTATTATTTAAATGACAACTTTTCCAAAAAGATTTTAAAATAGTTATTTTATTCGTGTTAATTATTATCAAAGTATATTAACCTTATTACGTAATATATAATTATAACCACAACATTAGATATTATATTTTATATTTCAAAAAAAAAACCACAACATTAGATATATATTTTATATTTCAATATGAAGTGCTTTACCTTAATATAAAATTAAACTAGAAATCTAATTGTCATTTTACTCAATTTGCTTTGATTTTACATCGATTTCAAAATAATAGAGATTCTTAGCTCTGTTTCATTTTTTATGTTTGTTAACTCATAATCTGTACCCATAGTTTTGAAACCAAAATAATATTGCCATAACTGAAGTCGGTTTTCTTAAATGCATTGTTTGTCAAGTTAAATTATGCAGTCTTGAAAATAACAAGGTAAACACTATTCCCTTTACGGATGCTATTTATTTATCGAATGGTTTATCATAATGATAAGGTAAAAGCGACTACGGCTAATAGATTAATCTATGAACGTCAATGAAACGTAAATCTAGACGGAAAATTTTATCTCATTTAAGACATTCAAAAGAAAGGAAGTACTAAATTCGTGATTCGTCGATATTGGAAGATTATAACCATCGTGTAACCTGTCCTATCTCTTAATTTGTATGAACTATACACATTTACAAAATTATATTGAAATCGGTTGAGCTATTTTGAAGATAAATCGTAAATGTACATGGGCATGGTCTCACACGGTCACATACAATTTTTACATATTAGATAAGTTATGTAGTAACGAATAAATAAAATTAACTGTAACCCGCGACTTCGCCCGTCGTCGTATCGTAATGTTGAATAGCTTATAAAAAAAATTATTAAAATAGTAGAATTTAAAAAAAAAAAAAACTATCTGAAAACGCTTAAATGCAATTAAATTTACTTAAAAAAATTACTGTTATTCTTAAAAATAACTTTTCAAATCTGACTGGTAGTTCCAGAGACTAGCGTGTTCAAATAAACAAACTCTGAATATGGTACATATTAAAATCATACGTACATCTTTCTTTTTTACTGTAATCGAGTAAAAATCATAACAATATTACTGGACTATATAATAAATAGTTTTTTAAGTCTCAAGCACCTTTTTCTTATCTACTGGTCTCTCCGATACTCATTTTTCCATTACACTATCTATTTGGTTAGTTTGGGAACATACGCATCTAGTTTATGTGATAACGTGTTTTATCTATTATTTACTATTAAGGTGATGGACCTTTCTTTGGAATAAAATAATTCTTTTAGTAAAAACAACTATACGTGAAAGTTAATAAGTGTACTAACGTCTAGCAGCTTCAACCGCGTAAACCAATATATAAAGTATCCAAGTAAAGTAAGTAGTTGGTATGGGTAACATATAGCAATATCTATATATTTTTTTTCTGTTATGATGTTACAATTATTTTAATAAATAAATATAAAAAATAAAATAGTTACAGTATATATATAATCGGTCATTAACGTTAACCTACTGGTATGAGAGATATCGAAATAGATGATTATCTTTTTTTTTCTCATCGTCTATGTCTAGAAGAATCCAATATATGGATATTGACAAGACATCGATATTACCCGTGCCCATGCTTTTACATAAAAGAATAACAAATATCAATCCATCGATCGATCGACCGTTACAAACTTTCGCATTTATAATATTAATAGTAGGATACTAAGAAGTCATACGTTCGTCATCGATATCATTTACTGATATTATCTATGTTACAATTAAAGCCGCCGTTTGTCTGGTGAAGCATAAGAATATTCGTTGCGAAGCAAAATCTGTGTAAACACACGACTCCGGGTTCTAAATTCAAATATTTTCCCTTTAATATATCCACAAAACATCCTGTCGTTCGTATACCGACGAACGAACGTTCGTTTTGTCCTGGGCATACGTTTAAATATTCCGTGATCAGTAATCCATTAATATTTGATCTAGATAATGATAAAATGGATCCAACAAAGTCACAAGATATCGTGACAGCCGAGATAAAATTGATTTGGTACAAGTACAACCTCAAGATTATCTTGTGAGTAGATAAAGGAAAAAAGCCCTTAGTGCGGAAGTTTTTAAATTCTATCATCATCATCATCATGTCAGTCATTGACTGTCCACTACTGAACATAGGCCTCCCCCATAAAGGGGAGGTTTGCCAGTAATTTTTAAATTCTATGCTTACTAATATTATAAATGAAAAAATGAGATTGTTTATTACCTACCAAACGTTATGAAATTTGGCATATATATAGTATTTGGGATATCAAAGGAAATACAATTAATCCAGGTCACGCGGACGACGTCGCGGGGAGAACTAGTTATAAAACAATAAACAATAAAGGTAACCAATGTGCCCTTTACGCCAATTGTCGTGTTTACACAAAAGTGGGTAGTTCCACTCACAAATTGGCAAGAGCGTACAAAAACTGACCTAGTCCGAATAGTCAGTTGACTGCAACAACTTATAACGGTAAACTTAGATTATATTTCGACTGATGCCACTCTCTGCGCTATTGTTGCACGGTTTTTGGTACACGAATCAAACTGGTTACATCTAACCATATAATAACTTGATGCTGTGATCTCTAAATCGGCTGTACCATAATGAGTATTTATATTTTAAACGATTACATGTCTATGTGTAAATAAGAAATGTTCAATAAACGGGAATCGATATCTGTATCATCAAATTTTTGCTGATGATATTATAAACAATAATAGCCATATATAGTTACTAAAATATAGTCACATTCATAAAAAGTAAATAAAGAAATTCCTATTACCAAGTAATATTACTAAAAGATAAATATCTTACAACACTCTAATTTACAATAAACCATAAATTATTTAATTATATAGTGATAACATAACGTGAAAACAAGTCCAGTTACTACTATCAAAGGAAGATATACCTAAATAAAACGTAAGACGTTATCGATAGAAAAAAATTAAAGACAAAATGCTAGTATTTTAATATTATAAATTCTATTTTGTTGCGTTATCGATGTAAAAGAAATAAATTAATATCTATGTAACATAATCGCTAGAATCAAACAACCGAATAAAATCAGACAAACGAGTATCAATTAAAAAATGAGCAAAAGTAAGGGTGTTTCACGTTAAACACAAACAAAACAAATCTCAATGAAGCCGACCGAACTGGGGCGTGAAGAGAGCGTTGCAATAGCCGGATCTGCCTAAACTTGTGCGCGCGCGCAGCTCACGTACGCGTATTGTTCATTTTGATTACATGTCAGGTGTTCCGGCGCTTGTATTTTTTACGGAAATATATGCATGGAGATGTCGTCATCTGTCCATCACCATACACCATCGGAAATGTTCTACAAAGTGATATCATAGGAAACTCCCCAAAAATAGCATTAGGTTTGGGGTCAGTACAATATATTTTCCTTTTCTTCTGCATTGTTTTCTAACTAATAACTTTATTCTCTAATAACTACTTTCTATGTTTTACTTTCCTATTTATGTAAATCCCTAACAGTCCGTTATTGACATATAACTTTTATTAAAAACAGTTTTTAAGTGAAACTTTTAAGCTTTTTTTTATATGAATTAGTAATTTTATCAGTTCTCTGCGACATAGGATACTTTTGCCAATTCTGAACTATGCTTTTTTTTTTAATTTATAGGGCTACTTCTGTGTTGGTTCCAATGTTATTAATTATAATATATTAATATTAATTTGAAGTTGCTGTTTTCTGCTAAATAAAATCTTAAATTATATCTTAAGAATTTTTTAATAAATATAATTAAAGTTGGATACTACTTAGATAAAGAGTTTTAAAGTTTATGTCATAAAAAATTTTTCATCAAACAAGCACTTGCATTAATTCATGTCCAACAAATAAAAATATAATATATCAAGTCGCTCAAACGTAATGCATTAATTTTATGTACCTTTCAATCACTACAAATTAATCGTGTTCATAAATAACATGGTTAAGAGGTTGGCAGTCGAGAATCGAGTTTGTATTACTATTAGGTGGTCAGTCGAAATAACTTTATAGCATACGCGTCATGTACTAGATACATCGATAAACGATTTAGTTTTAAGGGTCATTCGATTGATCGTAAAAATTTACAATATAATTGATGCTGTTAACAGAAATTTTCTAAATGCTCTCTCTTATATTGTAGCTATTGACCACACGTTCCATTATGCTTTCGCACACACGTCGGTGCAAATGGATTATACATAGATGAAAATGGTAATATTGATTTCTAACTATTAAGGCAATTCAGTTTTGTAGTCATTCGCTCGTACACGTATATCTCACACATAACGAAGCGTCAAATGACATAATACCAATATTAAAAAAAAAATTAACTCTTTTAGAGTAACTAATGATAATGGTGTTTTGCTTATTAGAACTAAATAACATAAACAAGTCACAGTTACATTAATATAAAAAAAATATCATTACTTACCTAATGCTTTGTATCATCTTGATATACGTAGAATACCTTAGAGGATGTCGTGGTGGCAATAATGGCAAGGCAGATTCCAAAAGATAAACATTAAAAAATATAACGATTTATTGTAATATATTTTAAATATTTTTACTTATTAGTATTATAAGAGCACTTTTATAAATCACTTTGTGAGTTTAGTTTCGATTGTTCGTCTAAAAATATGGAATGCATGTTATTCTATTCGTGTCCTTTTGGTATAGGAAAAAAAAAATGTTATTTAAGTTATACTGTATCAAGCAAGACAACCATGAGTTTTAAAGTTCTTGTTAGAGATATACCCACACAAGTTCATTCCTTTGAAAACTTTATTTGAAAAAATTAACACATCATGCCATTTATGGGCACGGAAAAAAAAACAAACATACGGGCCCCCTTCTCCATTCACTAGTCATCTTTATTAAAGCGACATAAAGTTCACATTGATAAATCTGTAAAAGGTCAAAACGAAAAGAGAGAACATGACGAGGACAATTGTTATAGGCCATAATTTTATATAACGCAAGTTACTGACCAAAACGGCAATTAAGAATCAAAATAAACTCAAATAACGAACAAAGCTCATATTATAAAATACGAAATAAACTTTAAAAAATAATGTCCTATCAAAGTCTCCTGACATAAAAGAAGTTAATAAGAATAACACCGCAAACACCTCATAAAAAGTAAATGTCTTCGACCCACATAGAGATGTAGTTAAATCAGACATTTTAAAAAGTCATACTAAAACTGTTTTCCAGATGCCCATATCTGATAATAAACAATCTCATAATATTTAGAACCATTCGTATATATCGGGCTACATCGGTATTTATAGCAGTTTATTTATTAATAGCCAATACATAAGCAATTGCAGTAGGTTAGTTATTTGTGTAATTACCTATTAAAACAGTAAATAACTTGCCACGCATCACTTTATTAACAAAACTGCGGTTTTGTATTACTGTTTCAGAGACGAGTTTCCTGAATGTTTATTCAGTTTATACAATTGTGCGTCCAGTTATTTCCATTCTTATTTATCGTGAGTTGATTTTTGGTCATAAATCATAACATATACAAACGAATTTAGGATACAGTTTGAACTACAGATGAACTACTTTTAGATTTCTCTCAAGGAAGTAACACATCATCCAAAAACGTTGGATGTTTGCCATTTTTCAGTAAGTGTAATTCTCATTTTGTAAAATATTCGTACACATATAATGAATCAGAGGAAGTGCCGGATTAAAATCACCCTGAGCGTAGCAATCATCAAGATACAAAAACAAGAAAATTGCTAAAGGTGAGTTGGGCAATTTGAAACTGGATTGCGCGCTCGAGTTAGATAAGGAGATACTAAAGCAAAAACTTGGCAATGAAGTCACGTTTAAATCAAGCGAAGCGTGCAACAAGTGGAAAGAGAATAGCAAGCAAATTCTGATAAACTAGCAACTCGCAAGATATAAGAAATGAACGTAACAAAAAATGCTACAGAATCTGTCTTTAAAAAGAATTGATGAATGTACGAAATACTAACATAAAAAACAGATGTCTACAGGTCCTACATATGACAAGTCGTTGTAAAGTTTACTAATTACAATTAATTAGTAAATACTTACAAGTATTTAACATAAATTGCGAAATGTATGTAAAGACTGAATTTAATTTGTATGATAATGAAGTTTCATAAAGGAAAGGCTTAGTTGTTAATTACAATATCTTTTAGCAAATATGTAAGCAATGGTTTAATATACTCAAGTATATCTTGTAAAGTGGTCGAAATTATACATGGTCTTGAACGTGACCGATATACCTACCTCAAAACTTTGTTCAACTCAAATTACAATCACATTATATTAAACGATCAAGGTCCAATACTTCAATTGAAAACCCAAAAATATCGTTTAACTACAATATCAAGGTTGGATATACTAATACATTAGAGCCTTTCGTAAACATAACCTTTAGAATTAAAGTAACCTCTACATAATTCATTTTAAAGTTTTGTTAATCTTTGAATTGCTTTTATTTTGGGATTGCTAGGAGTACCTGTATAAACTTCGAATTTTGTCCATAAGAAGGGCGCCCGCATGTATATGTAAGTCAGGATAACCGCACGAGAACCACACTCGCAAACTGGTTTCGGTGCACTATTATTATTAAGGGCTCGTGCCAATACGGGGAGAAACGTGCTCGAACACAAAACAGTTAACAAAGAAAACTTCTTTATTACAAATAAGAAACCATAAGTCGATTAATACAGATGTTTTACCAAAAGGACACTAATGCAAGATGCATCAATAAATCCACACGCAATTATTCTTCATGGACGCTGTTCTCCTGAAGATTGTTATTCCATGCATACACTAGCACATCCATTAATAATAAGGCACTGTCTAATTGAAATTAGAAAACAGTTCCAGAATTGTTAAAATAAATTCACGAATTGAGCACAACAGACCGTCTGCGTGAGTCGGCCATGCGCAAAGCCGGCGACTTGCAAACTGTTCCGTTTCGTTTCAAACTAAACATCAACGGCCACGCGGAGGGCACCCTACCGCGCTGTCTCCTTCGTCGGTTTGTATCACACTGTGAAGAAACGAGACAGTATATATTCTCACATTGCTCATTTCTTATCGCAGGATAAAGTTTACAGCGACGTGAATAGTTTCCAAGCATTAGTCAGAGTGGAATGGAACGATCAGTTTTTGTGTATTTGGCAGGACTTTTTTCTCCGTGTCGAATGTTTCGGATTTGGACTTCTATTTTTATTATCGACAGGAGTTGAAGCGGAACGAGGGAAACACGACATGTTTGTTTTAATAAAAAGCATTATCTACGAATGTATGAACTTCTAAGACTGGACAATGATATAGAGAACAAAGATTTAAACTAAAGCCTAAATCTAGAAGAAGCTTATGAAAAAATAAAACCATTATAAGTTTACTAATAAAATATCCTACAGTTAGAGATCTATTTCAACAAGATTATGGGCTGGAAATAGAATTTATTTTAAAATATATCACAACTATAAATAATTTTGTGTTCCACAAAAAAAAAAAAAAAGTGACAAAATCAATAATTTTTATTTCAAAACTACTGAACCGATTTTAACAAAATTGCTATGGCACAAATCTGTAGTACATTCTTTCATGTAAAAAAAGAATTTTCCAATCGATTAAAAACTGTAGAAGTTATGAGGTAACAAATTTAAAAGAAAATACAACCAAATCAATATGGTTGTATTTTCTTTTAAGTACCTCCTTCTTTTTGAAGTCGGTTGAGAATAGTTTTTAACGCTTACAGTATTGGCATCGATTTGGTTTGACTACAAAGATCTTTTTTTTTCTTATCACAAAATTTTTGTCAAAGAAGTGAAAATCGTTAAGTATCTGCTGCAACTGCGTCAGTACTTCTAGTTATATTTATCACTCTTGCACAATTACATTGCAGGATATAAAGAACATCTAATTTAACTAATGTATCTGCAAGACTAACGTAAGATTTCTGAAAGGCCCAAATTGTCGGTTAATTACAATGAAAATAAGAATGGATTCGGACAACTGAACTCTGATTACAAATCTGAGAGTATTATTGAGTAATCACTTGTTGAAATGTTCATGTCATAGCTTTCAAACTAAACAATACGATATTGAAGGTATAAAAATAACATACGAGTGAAGATATCGTAACTATAATATATAAATTTTAATAAAATTTGGTCCTTTTCGAATATTTTACAACCGTTTTCGAGAACTCATATGGGTATTCGAAGATGATAAATCGATCTTGATAAAAAGAGATAGGTTAGTAGAAAAAATCAATACAAATATCTAACTCCACAAAAAATCTGGCATGAAGGCATGTACTATTTCTTCTAAGAAATTATCAATAACCGAATTGGCTTATTCCTTATTACATATTTATTTTGTGTTATTTTTCGATACTACCGTAGATAAAATAAAAATAAAGTACTACATATAAAAATAGAAATGTCATTAAAAAAACAATCTTGGATATCTAATGATCGCCTATAAATCAAGTCAACTTTACGAAGGCAGAACAATTTTTAAATTAACAAATCAAATTATACCAATTTTATGATATTCTAAAATTGAGGTCACAGTCAGACAACACCGAAACAATAGCAAAACGGAAAGACACAACTCAAGAGCCAATTGAGGCATTGCGTAAGTTGGCGCCACCGGATAGAGGGTTCTAAACAAACGAAAGCGTGAAATTGGATATAGAGAATATGACATTTGGAAGTCTCATTGTTCCTGTTAGAGACGCGGTGATGTTGCGTGAAGTATTATTGTCCATAAAAATGAGTACAGAGAAGAAAAACATAATTGGTCAAACTTTCACTTCATTTAAGATTGTCTCAGATATGACACTAGGGTTAATTTATATTTCTTAATTTGTTTATTTTTTAATGGCGAATACTATTTTGGACAGGCCATTAAAGCCACAGAAAATTTAAATTACTAAAACATAACATCAAAACATTTCACAGTGAGTGAGTATCAATTTGTGATTATTACGAGTAGACTGATTCGATTTCAAAAATATCACTCAATACATGAGATGAATTGCTATATATAGTTCTATTACATATTTCATGACAACTGATATTTTTCATCTGTCATATCCACCATGCTACTACGTGCAGAATAAAGAATCTTCTAAATTTTTAATTTAAATGATAAATAAGTTTTCCAAAGTTCAAGATACTACATTTTTCAGATAACAACGGTAGGTATACAAACATGATAAATCTTTCTTAAATAACTTAACATTCACTGAAACGTTAAAAACTGCAGGAAAGTGTTTAAAATATGAAGGCGACACTGTCGCACTTTCTAAGAAAGAGACTAAAACATTTCAATACAAAAGATTGATGCTTCTCGAATCTGGATCGCAACTAACAATGCGATGGACTGATTTACGAAAGACCTACCAAACTTTCACTTGGCCCTTCCAAGTCGCTCAAAGCGTTACTATTAGGGACTTCTCTCTTTTTGATGTTGATGGATAACTTTGAGAGCTCTGTAAATGAATTGTCTATCAATTTGATTGAAAGTACGTCATTTGTTACGTTTCAAGCATCTTACACGTTCATGATTTGCATTTTATATTTGATTATAAATGTGTTAAAAAATATCATTTAAAACGATTTATTAAAACCTCACGCCCATTAACATGGACATACAATATTTGTCCCCAAAATTAGTTTATATTTTCATACAAAATGTATGTTCATTCTTTTAAACAATTTTTAATGTAAAAATTTTATATAAGTACTGCTACATTTAGTAAGTGATATCAACATTGGATTATAATTAGATAGTCAAGTGTAATTTCTTTTTTTTTATTTTTAAACTTGGTTTATATTTTCTGATGTATATCTATATTATTATTTTGGATATGATTAATGCATGCAATGTGTATAGATGAAAGATTTTTATGCAATATATTTCAAATTTTGAAAACGAAAATTCTTCACTAGTGCGTATTCTTCATTACTGGCAAATGACCTATGGAACCGAGACATGGTAACACACCGTTGCCCATATGTAAAAGCTCCAGTTACTAAGCGAGTTGTACCTCTATACAGTGCTCGGAATTTCTTTGTATGACAGAATCCGAAATGAAGATATCAGCAAAAGAACCAAAGTGATGGATATAACCTGAAGGATAAGTAAACTGACAACCGATGAGGAAGAAAAGTTCACGAGTGGAGACCCCGTACGGGCAAACGCAGTGTAGTACGGCCCCCCACTAGATAAAATGACGACCTCAAATGCATTTCAAGGAGTCAATGGATGTAAGACCTGTTTTTTGGCAATCTATAAGAAAGGTCTTTGTTCAGCAGTGGACAGATAATAGCTGATATGATGATGATGATGAAATAAGCTATTGATATCAATACATTATAAAAATATCCCACTCAAGTATATTATATCGATAACGTGATGTATTTTTAGTGTATATTGAGTATATCAGATGAAAGCGCTTTCAAATAGAAAATAAAATAAGCGAATAAAAGTTCTTAGTAACCTTAAAAAAATCTAGTCAGAACACATAAGGAACAGGTTCTTGTGCAGTACTTGATTAAACAGAGGCTTGGAGTAGGTAAACAAGCTAGAGTCTGCTTTGTCATGAATTGCATTAAAATTTTTACATAAATTTTTACTCACTTTAGTAAAAATCAATTTCAAGCCAAATGTCACATTATTTACATAATGGATTGCAAAATTACATTCAAATGATGAATTAGAATGTTTAAAGTTTCTTCAAATTTTTTTTTTTTAAATAAAGAAATACAGCATGTTTTATTTATTTTTTCAATTCGGAATGGCAAAAAATAACGGTCCACTTGATAGAAAGTCAACTATCGTCGTCACCTATAGACATAGATTGTATCATAAATATAACAAAATATTCTGCAATGCTCATGATAACCGCATAATAAATGGAAATGCCCGTGCATTTCCATTTATTATTCCTTAACATTAAGATGCAGACTATATGGTTTCGGCATAGAATGGGCCACTCCTTGCTTTCCCGTGAGTATTGTAAAAGCCGACTAAGGGAGGGCGAGGCATGGGCTGCAGCGTCCCTTTTAAAACGTCTCTAAAGTCTGATTGCAGTTAACTAACTGGCAAAACCCCCTAAGGGGAAGGCTTATTTTCAGCAATGGACATTTACAAGGCTAATATAATGATCACGATATAGAGTTATGCCTGAGTAATTGGTAAATCCCACTCTTCCAAATTGAAGCACAACCAAAAATACACTGCAATGCTGCTTAACGCCAAAAATACTAGTGAAACAGTTGTATCCAAGCAGACGATTTTTCTAAAAAGTATCTCTCTGATAAAATGTCAAGTAGGTATCTTAGTTATTGGCTGAACTATTCTACAATCTGATCAAAATAATGTATATCCACTTTTGTATGCAATTTAGCGAAACGATAACTGTCGCCTATATATATGAAGAGTATTATAGACATAACAGAGTATACTGTATCGCATATTATATCTGCTTTTTATTTTATACAAAACTAAATTAGATATTGTAGGTATAAACAAACACCTTTTGCTACAATGTAAAAATTGGAAATTTAATGATGATAATATTATTAAAATGTATTTATTCTATATATTTTATAATAATATTATGCTCTTCCATACAGGATAAACAAGTAGTAGCTTTATGTCTGTATTAATTGATGATTAATTTCTAAGTGGGACAGTACTAACTACTTACATTTATAACAACGCCCGCGGCAGTCATTTTGCACCCAATACACTATCCTTCCTTGACCATAGTAATGGAGTTTATCTCATCATATATCTTTACAATTACTCTTGGCTTCCCGGTTTTGAACACCGCGTAGTTTCCGTATATTGTGGCAGATTGAAATTGGGTGCTAGCAAAATTATAACTCATTATAATCTATGTAACCACCACAATTCAATGCAATTGTATTTAATATTTTAGGCTACAAATGGAATCAAACAGCAAAGACATGGGATCAAGTTAAATTACTAGGGTGGATATTAATTAACTCTT